TGATCCACAGAATCGTGGGTGGAAGTTGTTTAAACCCCCAGGCTTCGAGGCAGCAATACATACCTGAAGCATGCGGCTGTGGTGAAGGAAGCGAAACCCTAAGCCAAATAATGTAGCACAATCCTCTGAAGTCTGCTTTCCACACGTATGTATATATTTGTACATCTATACATATGTGTGTGTGTGTACATAATATATTTGTTCTTACACAAATATATTTATATAAAGACACATTAGTGGTTGTTATCACTGGGAAATATGATGCCAGGCAGCTTAAAATTTTATCTTTCTGTCTTACAAAAATTTGACTTTGTTTTATAAAAAAAATTTTTTACTCCCACATTCACCTTTTTTTTTTTTTAACAAATGTCTTACACTGTGAATTCCCATGAATCTTCCTGTCCATTAGATGGACAATTATATATATATATATAGTATTTACATCTCCAAAACTCTTGGTAAGTTGGTCTCTCCACCCTGGATGACACCAGAGGAGGAGCAGAGTTGTGCTTCTGCCACGAGGCCTCTCCCACCAACTGCCCCGCTGGAGAACACTCTCCACTCTTGGCCTGTACGCTTCATTATTTCGCTATTGTAAAACCCCTATTTATGCAGCTATGGAAGAGTGGTTGCTATGGCAACGCAATCTGACTGAACACCAGAATGCAGCTAAAATTGGTGGAAGTGACTTGTTCAGGGTTTCCTCTGAGGATTAATCATCTTCCAAGAATTTTATCTTTTTTTTTTTTTTTTCCTCTCCCATTAGAAAAACAGTGCCAGAACACCTCGTCTGGGCCCTGGGCGTGGGCAGTGTGAGGAAGGATCAGGAAGGACAGCCACAATGGCTGAGGGAAATCCCCAACCGCCCAGGAGCCCCTGTCCTGCGCACGCACGCTCGGGTCCCTCCCATCTCTCCCGCGTCCCTGAGGAACCTTGTCTTCCCTCCCTCTGTCCCGGGCTCTTCTTAGGTCACCTCTCTGATTCTTCTCTGTCTTCTTTTTTTCCCCCCTTACAATGCTGGAGATGGAACCCTGGGATTCTGCACTGTGTTATACCCTTAGTCCTTTTAAATTTTTTTGAAAAAAATTTTGATACCATTTTGGGAAATCACTAAGTTGCCCAGGCTAAGCACACAGCAGTGCATCTCCTACCTCAGTTGCCCAGAATGCTAGGATTGGGGCATGTGGCATGCATGTGTCGCCCTACATTTGGGTTCCTTTTCCCTCCCTGAATTCCGGTTTAGGACACACTCTTCTTCTTACTCCTAATTTTCCGGTTCTCTGACTTCGTTCTTTGCATTGTTTTCTTTCCGTTGTCTGTACACAGGATTCCCAAGCCCGAGCTCCCTTTCTTCCTCCTCTCTTCCTGTGCCACATGCCAGGAATAACATGCAGAAAGCAGGAGCCTGGTGAGGGACTCCCACGTGGCTTTCTGCTTGTCCTTCCAACTCCTCCCGCAGCCCCACCGGCCTGTGCCGGAGGCTCTCAGCCTGCATCTGGTAGCACCGCTGCATCGGGAAGCCCCGCGGGGCTGAGCCGGGCCTCCCGAAAGCCCACTGTTCTGCATCTGCCATACATCTGTGATGTCATTGTTAGAGTCCTGTCTTCTTCCCCAGGAGGACTTGGGCTCTCTGGAACAGGAGCTGCGATTCATTCTTTGCAGGCCCGTAGAGCCCAGAACTCATGAAGGGGTCAGTGGTGTTGTTGCCATCTCAAAGTCACTGTTCCCAAACTGCCTCCACCAGCCCTGTGTCCTACCGCTACTGCTTTCTACACAGTCCATCCTGGAGGTGTCTTTGGTGGCTTCCTTCCACTCCCTGAGTTCTGAGGATGCTCCTATTGCACTCTCCCACCACTTGGCCTTCATTCTCACTGCAGTGCCCATCCTGGCCTTGTTCCTCGGCTCAGGCTGGACTTCATCCCAGGGACACTGCCTGACCACTCCCCCGGTGGCATCTACATCCAAGCTGCCCCGCACATGGCCTCCAGATCCACACTTCTACCTGTGGCACCTTGTTCCAAGGCCCATACCTGGCCATGCAGGCTGAAGGCCTCCCGCTGTCTCCCTCCCCTCCTCCCCTCCTGCTGCCTCTTCTTTCCATCCAGCCCAGACCTCAGTCTCTCCCCCAGAGCCCCTCTATTTGGCTCCACTGTCTCTCACCTACTACCTACATTTTAAACCTCTTTCCTTAGAGTCTGCTTTGCCGACTCCACTCCTGTTAGGGTTTCAGTTGTGCCCCAATGTTCATATGATAAAGTCCCAACTTCCAGGACCTCCTGATGCCACCATATATAGAGCGGCTATAGAACAATTAGGTAAAATTAGATCACACAGTAGAGGGAGGATCTCACCCAGTATGATGGGAAATTGGGACCCAGAAGCACACGGGCAGGGAGAACACCTGTGCAGAGCACGGGGGAGCGTGGCCGCACTAGTTGAGGAGACAGGCCTGGGGTGGGTTCTTTCCTTACAGCCTGCAGAATTCCTGCTGACTCCCTGAGTTTGGACTTTGACTTCTACGCTTTGAGATGCTCCCTCTCTGCTGCTGCACCCACCACATGGAGCCACATGCAGCACACAGTACCATCCACCCTTGGCTGACAGTGCTGTTCTCCCTTGGGCTGTATGAGAGCTGTTTCCTGCTGCCCCAGAGCTGTCATCTGCTTGCGTTCCCAGTGCACTTCCTACTTGCTAGCAAGACTCCGATTCCTCTCAGGTAGGCCTCTTCTTTGGGCCTCGTTATCCCTGACAGGTCCTGGTACTTCGCTGACCCATAGAGCAGGGTGAATTGAATGGGCTTCACCCCAGAGGGTGATTCCTGGCTCCCTGTAAGTCCTTGCAGGGGTTTTCCAAGCCCATCTAAGGTAGACAAGAAAGCACCCACCCCAAATACCAGGAGGGGGCTCAGTGGTGATGCCAGGAAGCCAGGTTGGCCTGCGGAGGTGTGGAGGCTAAGGATGCCAGCCCTGGGTGGGACCACAGGTGACAACACCTGATCCAACCTCTTACTGCACAGAAAGACACGAGGCTCAGGGATGCTAAGGGCTGTCACATCGCAGAAGCAGGAGGTGAGGAGAGCAGAGCTGGCTCCTTGGCTCAGTCCTGGACTCCCAGATCAATGCTACAGGGAAAGCTGTGACCCCAAGGGGCGGGGCTGGGCTACCCAAGGGCGAATGGAGGCACGGAGGCTTTGGGGTGACCTCTGCACTAGAGGCCTGGGATTTACAGCAGAGCCAACACAGTAGCCAGAGGGGACAGTGATTAGGGCGAGGGGACTCTCAGGACACAGGGCTCTGAAGACAGCATCGCGCCACATTGAGTGACGGCTGTCCCTGCACAGCCCAAGCAGGCTCCTGTCCTCAGTGCGGAGCAGGAGCAGCCTTTGTGGAGCCCAGTTGTGTGCTGACACATATACCGAATGCTTAAAATATCTTTTCAAAAAGTTTCTTACTCTAAGAGACCTGGTGCCATTCATCTCCCTCAGCATATTCCCTCTCACTGGGAATGCGCACACTTGGCCCATCACCCTGCCGCCTGCCGAAGCCCTTCTGGGAGTCCTTCTTATGAGCGGAGCGTCTTTGGCAGCACTGCTGGGGCTGCCTCGATGGCCAAACCAGTTCAAACCTTGCCCTGTCATGATCACTTTGACTTTGGGGAAGAGCTGGAAGACGCGCGCTGCCGCGCCTGGTGAGGAAGGGGGACGCGCTGTCTTGTGCTCTAGGCTGCCTCTTGGTTTGATGGCGCCCAACAGATGAATTCACTGTATTTCTTTCAATCATGCCTCATAAAGACACTCAGGAAGAGGACTTCTTTAATCACTTCAGAAAGTGGCAGGGATGACGACATAAGTGTTTGGAGCGAGGGAGAGAATTTTCAGAAGGAAGGACTGATGGCAATGCATACAAAGCTTTTTAAAATTTAAACATACACTCTGCATTTTGATTCCCCTATCATAACTGTATACTTCTTCTTCTTCTTCTTCTTCTTCTTCTTCTTCTTCTTCTTCTTCTTCTTCTTCTTCTTCTTCTTCTTCTTCTTCTTCTTCTTC